CGATTTTCAGAAGAAAATTAATGAACATATGTATAATTCAGGATTATTTGTAAGGTAATTTTCCCCCCAATGTATAAATTTTGATACGGGTATGACCGATTTACGACAAAAGAATGAAGTTTTTAACACTTCAGATTTACAAATTCACGTCTTATTTATTAATCGATTATTTATAAAACTATTTCCATATGTCTTGTAGACCTCATGAATAATAGATTAATTTGTTGAAGTCACTATGAATTAATTATGCCTTGCGACATTTTACTATCGATATCTTTTGCATAAAATTTTTGTAAATTTAAATATATGAGCATTAAATAAAGATTTAAAATTAGTTGCGTTTGGATGTTTGAAGTCTATATCAAACAGTTTCCATTTTCTTTTATATTCACAGTTGACTTTTTGTCTCTTTTCTTAATCAAAATACAGTAAATTTAAGAAAACAATGAATATACTTAATATACATTTTACTTAATTCTTATCTAAAAATTTTTTTTTTTTTTGGTCTTGAATTAAGGAGCAGGGTTCGAATTCGACGCAACACAATCCTTAACACACTCATCATTAGAAGATAAAAGATGAACCAGCCCGGTTCATTCGGTGGCCAAAAGAAAAAAATATTACCATTGCAGAAAAAACAAAAATCAATGGAAGAACAATAAGATATGAACAAACAACGAAGACAAAATTTTAAAATTTTCATTAACTCATTACATGTTTTATCGATTAGAAATGCTTTCATTTGTTTATTCAAAACAGCGAACTTCTGAAAGCAGCCAATCGAATGCAGCCACATGGCCGTTGTCGGATCGATATTCCGGTGGATATTGTATCAGTTCTGCTAATTGGCAATTAATGCTAGCGCCTGTCCTAATGTTTCGGGGCTTGAATTACCGGGCTTTTGTGTATATCTGATTATAAAGATGAATAGATCGAAAGCTGTCCACGAAAAAAAAGAACAAATACTTTATACTTTAAAACAAATCATCGATTATCGCCATAATACGGGTGGCCGAGAGAATAATGTCGATTTTTTTTTCCTGTCATGAGATAATAGAACTGTATCTGAGCTAACGGTGTCACGTGACCGACGTATCCTTGATAAAACAATGAGGAAAAGACAAATCCCTGGGGAATGTCCTTAGAGATGATATGCATTACAACACTGTACCATAAGGCCATGAAAATAATTCAGGAAGGGGAGAGGGTATTTCCCTGATAGTCAAGACATTTCAAATTTAACAACATGTTACGCAAACAAATGACTTCAAGTAAATAAAGTATTTATAAGAATGTTGAGCCTTTCATTCTATTTTAATGGGCAAAAAACAAAACAAAAAAAAAACTCGGTAATAGAATTGTAGGACATATTCAAATATGACTACTTGTTCATGCTGTCCGCCTAGCATCAATAAAGTTCTGGTATATTAGCCTCTTTTTTCACCAGAATAAACTTCTATATTGGTCCCTTGTGATTCTTACTAAGAGGAAAAAACTTTCACATAAATATTTCATGGTCTTTCCCGGACTTTTTTTTTTGCATGACTGATGACAGATGCCCGAGCTAAAGGATACAACTGACTTGTAGTCTCCATCACCAAAAAAGAGGGGAACATTACGTCTTCAGTAAAGTGAAGATTTCATTTTGAGAGGATGCAGAGCTATTTATATTACAGATGAAGAAACAAGACACTGCCAATGATTTAAAATTTATTATCTAATTTGTATGAATGACATCATTTAATATCAATAACATGTACATCCATACAGATATCTAATTTAGCCATCAAAAACTAGTTTTGCATAGAATATGTGCTGTGTTGTAAGTCTATAATTTCAATCCAAATGACTAGTTCATGTCTAGGAGCTAAAGTGGACTTCAGAGAGTTAAAACTAATGAATAAACTGTAACTTAGCAAACCTCATGGTAATCTAGTTCAGAATAAACTTGCTAAAAGTTAGAATAATAGCAGGGATAACATTAAAAAAAAACTAAATTCAATATCAGTTGATAGCTTAATATTAAATATTGGTAGTCTAACTGGAGATTATATTTAAAACTTAAGTCATAATCAAAACTACAATCAAACTTTGTTATCTCGAACCTGATGGGACAGAGAGAAAACTTTGAGATATCTGAGGATTCAAGATACCAAGGTTAAGATAAATAAAACAATCAAACTTTTTTCTTCCAAAACTTAGAGATCATTGCTAAATTAGGTGCCTTTCTCACATTAGAAGTGATATTTATTTAGTTTTAAATACACAACTTAATGTTTGGCCAAGCCAATTAATTTGGCAAAAAGTGCTGAAATGTGACTTTACAGTTTAATATGGGTTTTTTTTAAACCTACAAAATGTTTTCAGGTTTCTTGCTTCAAAGTTTCTGTCGACATTTTCAAGAGTGTATTTGAACACTTTACACGACTAAAATTTATAAATTACATTTCCTTTGAAAGAAATATTGAAAAGATACCAGTGTAACTCTTCTGTTTGGGAGATACAAAAATATGTTTGTGTTATACTGTATCCTTAAAATACTAAAAAAATAAGTGTTTGGGTCTTCTACATCACTTCAACATATATATATTGTATTTTAGATATCAGAGTTCAAGATACTGAAGTTCAACTGTAATTAAACATTTAAGGTAGGATTCTTCTCATATTTCTAATATTTAAAAATTAATGAAATTTTCACAGAATCAAGAAGACAATATCGGTAAGTGATAGTATCAGTGAAATTAAATTTGACCATTTTATATTAGAGGCAAGGTCAGGTCAAGGTCATTATCTTTTTCCTTAACATTAAGAATAAAAGAATACTGTTGCCAATCATGTGATACCTACTTCTATTTCAAAAGTTTAAAGATTGTGCTTTTTGCATAAAAACATTTTACTATATCGGGTCTATAGCATGATATTACCAAATTTACATAAATAATATAACTTAACTGGATATTGGCTAATCCGAATTTTCTCTGTTTTTGTTAATTTTTTAGGATATATTAGTTTTTTTTCATATGCTTACTATATTTAACTTTTTCTTATTTTCACGTATGATAAAGTAGTAATAAAAATGTACAAAATGATACAAAAACAAAAAGTTTTGATTGTTTACTAAGAGAGAAAAAATACTTTTAATGGATTTTTGGCTCAAATCTGCACTTTGATAGGAAGCATTTAAAAGCTAACAAAATTCTAGTTTGTTTGAAAAATCATATTTATTTGATATATTTTGAAAGTTTAGTTCCTCATTATTAATTTAACTTACATTTGAAAATTTCTCCAAGTCTTTGATTGTGTAAAACAATAACTAAATTCATTGTTCTATTATAATTTTGAGAGGCAGAAAAGAAAATATTTTCATACGCCACCATTCCGCCAAAAATATAGTCCCTGCTAGTTTTCAAACACAGTTTACCATTTCTATTTAAAGTTGTACAATTGTGATGAGGAAAGAAAAATATGGACTTTTAAATTTCTTACACCTCAATATATAAGACATATAAGCAAATATACTTTGAATGTTTCATCTAGTCAGGAACCAGAGAAGAATCCTACCTTAAGTAAATTAAAGATTTCTACACAAGTATACTTTTACATTTAAAAAAAAAAACCTTAATAATCATAATGAAAACTCAATGGACATTTAACTAACATTTCCATTCATTTTTAGTTTTAAAAAAAAAAAAACATATAAATTATGCTTAAAAAAAAAAGAAATAATTTAAGATGAACTTCATTGACACATGTATGTTGGAATTAATCCATGTTCAAATACAAAGATGGCTGCATTTAAAGTAAGATAACAACTCTTCAAGCATGTTAGATGGAATCCCCTTAAATGAGCCTAACCATACTGAGGAGAAACTTGTAATTATAGGTTGCATCATGAAAAATCATCTGTTCAAACAGAACTCTTATCCAACCTTTAAATAATCAATGATTTGAAACTCAATTTTCTACATTATAAAATCAGGAGAGAAAAAACTTCTCTTTTTAACATCAATTCTGTCTAAATATTTTGATGTTTTATTTAAGCGGTGCCTATTGATTAATGGAGATAGTTATGAGGTGTAATTGCATTATCGATGGTAAAACTTGTCAAATTTGTCAATATCATTGTCTGTATTCACTATAAAACCATGTAATGGCTTCTAATGAGAATAAAAACCTGCAAAAACATGTCAGCTTATTGGGAAGCATTTTCTAAAGTATCACAGTAAATTCATTTACTTAAGACAAACACAGATTGCATAATGCAATTGGTGTTATACATTTCAATGCAGGACGGCTCATAATAATGAGTACAATGAGAACTGGACAGATCTATTTAGTTAATGTACATACATATAAATACATCTACTGATTACTGTTCATATAAATTATGTAACAAAAATAAAAAAATATCATTTGAGAATTATGTACAAGAAAAATATCTTTGGCACATTGGTAACAACCTGACTAAAGGTATATTTATACAATATCTAATTAGACCATTTCCAATTAGTCAATGACTACAAAATCAGCACTTCACTAATTATTTCTAGCATGTCTGCATGATTCCTGCCTATAATTTTTTGACTTAAGCACCATTTTCTAAAATTCTTTTTGATCTTTCACTGCACAATCAGACAATAACTTAAATTACATGTAAGTATAAACAAGTTTTAAAATGTAATGAATGGCTTTGAACAGTGTCACATTTCAGAATATTTCAGCTAGTACATCACAAAATCTTGGTTATGATTTTTTGTGTGTTTTATGTATGTATTCTGTTTCATTAAAAAATATAGTTATTTTAACATTCAAGGACTTTTACTTTCATTAATCAGATCAAGGTGCTAGCTTTAAGATTGACAACAGTGTACATAAATCATGTATTAGAGGAAAATCCGGGACAGAGCTGCGGAGAATAAGGATAAAATTAATATACCATAAACTACAACCCCATTTGCTAATCACATATCACAGAGAATAAAAGGAATAATATTGTGGTCTGTACTCAGGCCGTTGACTCGTTAATGACGACCTGTTTCTTCCTCTTTCCTTTGCTGTCCAGGGTTCCAGTCGAGCCTATATCACTTCCTTCATCTGCATTTCCTCGATTCTTTTTTCTGTAATAAATAATAAATTTATGATAAACAAGTCAAACAAATTCTTAGAAGATTATGACACTTAATTTATTAGGTATGAAAAACATGTTAACTAACAAGGTATTTGATTAAATGTCCTGCCTACTATTTCCTTGTTAGAGAAGAATATTGCTGGATAAAGAGTAGTGATATATTCAATTTACTGTCACAAAAACATGTATATACAAAATAACTTTTAAAGTATGACTCTTTGCAGTCTGAGGGTGAATCAGACTCTAAATCTAAAGGTGTTTGAAATTCTGGATTATTCACATTTTGGCAAAAAAAAAAAAAAAAATCTGAAAACATTTCATTTTTCTAAAGTGAAGTCCTTTAGCAAAGTTGGAGCTACCATTTTATATGTATATACATACATGTATAAAATGTAACATTTCCATATCCCTGAAATCCTATTTCATTAATGACCCTGACTGACACATGAACGATGGGTAAACACCTTTATTCATTGACCATGTCCTAGAGTTCATTAACCTTTTTTTAATTTCTCATCAATCTCATCTCATTTAAATAATTATTAATTGGAAACCTAGTAAGGGTATTTTCATGTCTGCTTTCTTGTTGTCTGCATTATTTTCAATTCATAATAATGTACATATTAAGTTTTTAGACAATTTATCAGGAATGAAGTATACATGTATTGCATTCATGAAATACATGACGGAAAATTCCCCCAAAAGTATCCATATTGTTTTCCTCAACGACATGCAGATAAATGCAGCATACAGGTTTTGTTTTACTTAGCGCAATAATCATAACATCTATTGTCTTTCTGATGCTAGAAAAGTCTAAGAACTTGGCAAGAAACCATGTTTTCTTATAATAAGTTGGTGAGAATAAATTAAGACTTTATGTACAATACTGAAACATAAAATTATTATCCCTCACAACAGAGTTGGAGGAGATAGAGTAATGCAATTGTATGTGTTCATTGTGGGTGAGTGTAGAGTTACTTCAGTGTGAAACGGAAGTGATGACCAGAATGCTGCCTTGATTTATAGATATGTTCTTTGTCAGGGTTTGCTCTACCTTGTGGTGCCCTTGTTTCATATGTTTTTTGGAATTCTAAAATCAAACTGTCTAAAATTCATGAGCCTTTGGAGCCTTTTCCCCCAAAACTAGACTTTAACCATGACCCAGACAGCCTAAATTTCTGGTACCGGTGTAGCATAATATTTTGATACCGCGATATATTGAACCCGGGTTCAAAATATCGCATAATATTTTGAACCCAGGTTCACTTTTTCGCTGCGATATATTGAACCCCCTTATAAAATATTGAACCCCTACCTTTTTCATTTAAGAGGTAGGGGGTTCAAAATATTATGGCCATAAAATATTGAGTCCCCCTGCCCATTTAATTTTACATCTAGGGGGGTTCAAAATATTATGGCCATAAAATATTGAGTACCCCTGCTTATTTAATTTACAGGGAGGGGGGTTCAAAATATTATGGCCATAAAATATCGAATCCCCCTTTCCATTTAATTTATGAGGGAGGGGGTTCAAAATATTATGGCCATAAAATATTGAGTCCCCCTACCCTTTTAATTTTACAGGGAGGGGGGTTCAAAATATTATGGCCTTAAAATAATGAGTCCCCCTGCCCTTTTAATTGATGAGGGAGGGGGTTCAAAATATTATGGCCATAAAATATTGAACCCCCCCTTTTTTTATTTGTGAGGGAGGGGGGTTCAAAATATTATGGCCATAAAATATTGAACCCCCTTGCCTTTTTGATTTAAGAGGGAGGGGGGTTCAAAATATTATGGCAATAAAATATTGAGTCCCCCTGTCCATTTAATTTATGAGGGAGGGGGTTCAAAATATTATGGCCATAAAATATTGAGTCCCCTGCCTTTCCAATTTATGAGGGAGAGGGTTCAAAATATTATAGCCATAAAAAATTGAGTCCCCCTGCCCTTTTCATTGATGAGGGAGGGGGTTCAAAATATTATGGCCAGTGGAAGTGTGTAAGTGGGAGAAGGGTTTTAGATTATTTGCAGGCATATTATATCATCACTCCCTTTACAAAACAGTTCAATAGGGTGACTGAATAATTTATCGCCATAATATTTTGAGCCCCCCTCCCTGTAAAATTAAATGGATGGGGACTCGATATTTTATGGCCATAATATTTTGAACCGCCTCCCTCTTAAATTTAAAGGGCAGGGGGAATCAATATTGTATGGCCATAATATTTTGAACCCCCTCCCTGTAAAATTAAATGGGCAGGGGGATTCAATATTTTATGGCCATAATATTTTGAACCCCCTCCCTGTAAAATTAAATGGGCAGGGGGATTCAATATTTTATGGCCATAATATTTTGAAACCCCTTCCTCTTAAATTTAAAGAGCAGGGGGGTTCAATATTTTATGGCCATAATATTTTGAACCCCCTACCTCATCAATTACTAGTAAAAGGGCAGGGGGACTCGATATTTTATGGCCATAATATTTTGAAGCCCCCTCCCTCTAAAATTAAATGGGCAGGGGAATCAATATTTTATGGCCATAATATTTTGAACCCCCTACCTCTTAAATTAAATGGACAGGGGGACTCAATATTTTATGGCCATAATATTTTGAACCCCGGGTTCAATATTTTATAAGGGGGTTCAATATTTCGCAGCGATATTTTGAACCCGGGTTCAAAATATCGCGGGGTTCAATATATTATATGACACCGGTATTTATTCAAAACTCCAGTAGCCCAATTCCAGGCGTCACCATGAGTCAGATAGCCTCAATCATGTGTTTAAACCAATAAATCCCAGGCAGCCCAAATCCAAGGCTTCCCCCATGACCCAGGCAGCCACTAACCTTTGGTTTGACACTGATTGACAGTCCTAGTCCTGGGATTCACCTGATCCAGACTTTACCCATGACCCAGACATCCCCAATATCAGGCTTCATTCAAGACCCCTTTAGCCCTAATCTTTGGTTTGACCTTTGATCAAGACAACCCCAGACACGGGATTCACTCATGACCCAGGCTTCACCCATGACAAAAGTAACCCCATGCAATCCTAGGCATTATCTTGACCCAGGAGGCCAAACTCCCTGGCCTTACCCATAATTTAGACAGCTCTGTGCAGTATTACTGAGGATGGTATTACCTAGCTAGTGTTCAATTCTGTTGTAAATCTTGAAAATTGCTAAAATCACAATTTTTATTCATATATTTAAGAAATTTTGAAAACGATTTAAAATCGGAGGTTAATAATTCTAAACATTTTTGGTATATTACATACGTATACAACAAAAAGCCCATGGGCCACATTGCTCACCTGAGTAGCTTTGAACATGCTGTTCTTTACCCATTGAAATACCTATTGTGGCCTAGCCCTACCCCCAGAGGTCATGATTTTAATAATTCAAAATCTGCACTACCCCAGGATGCTTCCACATAAGTTTCAGCTCTTCTGGCTTAGTGATTCTAGAAGAAGATTTTTTAGTGACCCTACCCTATTTTTGTCTTTTCTTGATTATCTCCCCTTATGAAAGGACCTGACCCTTCATTTTAACAATTTAAACTCCCCTTCAGCCAGGGATGCTTTGTACCAAGTTAAGTTAAAATTGACCCAGTGGTTCTTGAGAAGAAGTCAAAAATGTAAAAAGTTTACAGATGGACAGACAGCTAGACAGACAGAGAGACTGACTGACAAAATGTGATCAGAAAAGCTCACTTGAGCCTTCAACTCAGGTGAGCTAAAAATGAAATTTAAAGGAATGTGTTGTCAGACCTCTTATACTTACATGTACTTTTATTTCCAAGAAGATCCATGCAGATGTCTTGTGCATGTGTAGCTTTAGTGTAATTAAGATAAAGATTATAAAATATAACTTGCAGTATTTAGTTGTGTGTGTCCTACGAATTTAGGGCAAAACGTTTATCATATAAGGGAAAAGTTTATGTGATTTACAGAGAGAACATATCTAAGGGTTGACAGTCAGAGAGAATAATACACAGTAACTAATTTGTTATTAATGATATACAGTGCTTTACTGGAACTAGTGGAACAAATCCTCAGAAAAGACCTATACTGAATAAAACATACAAGGCATCTACAGATCAAACTGCCATTTTATCCCCAACTGCCTGGTTTAAAGCAGTAATGGTACACCTTAATTGTATGGCTGCTAGTCAAACTGTATTTCATTTTCCTCTCAGGAAAAAAAAGATGATGTCGTGTCCCATAAATAATTGATGTTAAAATATTTCCTTTTGACAGAACAAATACCCTCACCAGATAATGAGGGAACTGATGGACAAAGATAGGCAAACTGTTTCAAACTAAATGGAAATGGGTTTTAATATTTCATCATCTTTGCCTTTCAACCAGAGCATTGAAACATAGCACGACTTCACAGGTGACTGCCCTTAAACATATTTGAAGCTAAACAAAAATTCTAATTCCTTTGGTGAAATGGAATTTTTCAACATAGGCCTATATATATAATTGCTTTGGAATGTATTACAATGAATTTTTTTTCCAATCAAATTTGAAATTATCTTGAATATGTCATTCATTATTCTGTTGTTTAATTTGTTCTCAGAGGAGGGATTAGGGAAGGGGTTGAATGTAAGAGGAAATACATTCTCTTCCCCCATTTGTCACAAACTATAAACATAGGTAATCAGAGATTACAGAGATCTCCTCAACGAATGTTGTCTTTAAGTAAGGCCAAGTCACACAATTAACCAACAAAAAGTGTACATTCCAAAAATGAAAATATTTAAGCAATTTTGATCTGATACTTTGAAATAGACCTACATAAAAAATTTGAACTAGTTCTTCTTCATGAAAATGTAATCAAAATCCAGCATCTGAAGCAAATTTGAGAGTTTTCATCTCTTGATGCAACATTTGTGCAAGTTTGGTTTATACAATGTTATTTAAGCCTTATAGTTTTTTAGGTAATAGACCTGCACCCATAACTTTTACCTGGTCTATTATCTGAAAAATGTATGTCAAATTCAGCATCCAAAGCAAGTCCATTAGTGTGCATCCTAAGATGTATCGTCCATGCAAGTTTGCTCATTATAGGGCTCATAGTTAGATGGAAATGAAACATGCATCAAAAACTAATATTTTCACTCATCCACAAAAAGTAAGTCAGATTCAGCATCCGAAGCAAGCCTGGTAGTATGCATCCTTATATGTATCATCCATGCAAGTTTGGTCAACATAGGGCTTATAGTTACTTTGAAATGAAACCTGCACCAAAAACTTTTACCTGTTTACTCAACCAGAAAATATAGGTCAGATTCAGCATCCAAAGCAAGCCCGGTAGTATGCATCCTTAGATGTATCATCCACGCAAGTTTGGTCAACATAGGGCTTATAGTTACTTGGAAATGAGACCTACACCAAAAACTGCACCAAAAACTTTAACCTGTTCACTCAACCGGAAAATGTAGGTCAGATTCAGCATCCGAAGCAAGCCCGGTAGTATGCAACCTTAGATGTATCATCCATGCCAGTTTGGTCAATATAGAGCTTATAGTTACTTGGAAATGAAACCTGCACCAAAAACTTTAACCTGTTCACTCAACCGCAAAATGTAGGTCAGAATCAGCATCCGAAGCAGGCCCGGTAGTATGCATCCTTAGATGTATCATCCATGCAAGTTTGGTCAACATAGGGCTTATAGTTACTTGGAAATGAAACCTGCACCAAAAACTTTTACCTGTTCACTCAACCGGAAAATGTAGATCAGATTCAGCATCCGAAGCAAGCCCGGTAGTATATATCCTAAGATGTATCATCCATGCAAGTTTGGTCAACATAGGGCTTATAGTTACTTGGAAATGAAACCTACACCAAAAACTGCACCAAAAATGTTAACCTGCTCCAAAAACATTAACCTGATCATTCCTTTGCTGAAATTACAGCATCTGAAACTTTGACTGGTACAATGAAACACACTAGAACCATCTTCCATGCATGTCTAATCAATATAGGACATAGAAGTACTTAAAAAGAAAACTGCTCCAAAAAACTTAACCTTAACCTGGGACGCCGACGCCGAGGGTATTACATAAGCTCCCCCAACTTCGTTGAGGTGAGCAAAAAATAATACAAAGAAATGCAGATTCCAGATGATTTAAAAAATGTTTAAAATGATACAATTTTAATTAAATTTACATGTAAATTAATTTAACTAGACATCTTTTTTTTCTTGTTAAAAATTAAAGGCTCAGCATGGATTAGCAATAAAAAATCAATTTTAAACAATAAAAGTACAGGACGGAATCAGGTCAGCTCAGATCTTTATGCAATATTAATGGCTCAAACCAAAATGTCAACTCAGAATCCAGATGCTGTATCTTAAAAAGTTCTTAAAAACAGATGTTCAAACTCAACAATAACAAAAAGTCTCTAGTTGCAGTTAAAATGTTAATTTATTGATTTTATATATCCCCCCACTGGTGATAAAGTTGACAGCATCTTTAAAATAATAGACAACTTTATTATTTCACTCCAAAAACAATCAGTGATTAGAAGTAAAGGGAAAAGATCAATACTGATGAGTTTTTAATCTATCCCCAACAGAAATAGTAGTACAGGTATTAGCATTGACATAATGCTAAATAAATGGTGGATTAATTGGTAGCAGTGAACATAAATTTTCTGTTCAAAAGCATTTTTTTATATTTCAGAAAATCTGAACTTTTTAACGTTAACTTCAAAAACAATCTAGTGTGCAAACATGATATAATTGCACACTACACATTTTCCCATTCAGACAAAAGTGTCTAAGCATAAGCTTTATTAAAAAAAAATTCTGTTAAAAACTTGATGAAACTTCTCAAAAGTAAAAATACATGTACATGTACATGTACAACTCAAAAAACAACATAAGGAATACTAGTATAGTATTCCAGACTCTGATATATTGTGAAGTTAATGCCATCAAACAAGAGAATCTAGGTTCAACTTTATTTAAATTCACCCACCTATAAAGATAAGGGGAATGCCATTGTCTTCATTTCCTGTTAAGTCCCCCATTATTGTTTATATGCAAGTTTCCTTTAAAACTCTTTGATGACAAACTATATAAACCACAACATGTTGCATACAATTATTATGTATGCCTATCAAGATTTTTCTATCCCAACCAAAGTCTAGAGTAGTGGCATCTTTGGTGATGTGCCTGTGTTACAATACAATGTGCTCAATTGATGTACTTTCACTTTCTTTACTTTTGTCCTTCAATTTAATATAGGGATGCAGTTTTGGCCACATACTCCCAACAGAAAAGAAATAAAATACCATTGATTTGAGACTATCTGTTCTTATTTCAAACAGCTGTCTTTTTTTTGGGGGGGGGGGGGGTGTAAAATAACCAGAAGTCTCTGTCGAGACTGTAGCTCTACTGGTTTGTACTAATCAAAAACCGATGCACAGAATTATGTATCTTAGTGTAGTCTATTTGTGTGATAAGTTATATTGAAATCAGACCAAAACTGTAGAAGGAGTAGCATTTTAAAGGAATTCCACAGAAAATTCTACTTTTAGTAACCATGGCAACACCGTTCATTGAAATCAAAAACCGATGCAATATTATATGTAAATTAGTGTAGTTTACTTGTGTGCCAAGTGATAATGAAATCAGACCAAAACTGTAGAAGGAGTAGCGTTTTAAAGGAATTTCTCAAAAAATTCTATTTTTAGTAACCAATGCAACACCGCTCATCAAAATCAAAAACCGATGCACTATTTTATGTATCTAAGTGTAGTCTACTTGTGTGCCAAGTGATATTGAAATGAGACTAAAACTGTAGAAGAAGTAGCGTTTTAAAGGAATTTCTCAGAAAATTCTATTTTTAGTAACCATGGCAACACCGTTCATCGAAATCAAAAACCGATGCACTACTTTATGTATCTTAGTGTAGTCTACTTGTGTGCCAAGTGATACTGAAATGAGATTAAAACTGTAGAAGGAGTAGCGTTTTAAAGGAATTTCTCAGAAAATTCTATTTTTAGTAACCATGACAACATCGTTCATCGAAATCAAAAACCGATGCACTATTTTATGTATCTTAGTGTAGTCTACTTGTGTGCCAAGTAATATTGAAATCAGACCAAAACTTTAGAAGGAGTAGCGTTTTAAAGGAATTTCTCAGAAAATTCTATTTTTAGTAACCATTGCAACACCGCTCATCGAAATCAAAAACCGATGCACTGTTTTATGCAGTTTAGTGTAGTCTACTTGTGTACCAAGTGATATTGAAATGAGACTAAAACTGTAGAAGGAGTAGCATTTCAAAGGAATTTCATAGAAAATTCTATTTTAAGTAACCATGGCAACACCGCTCATCGAAATCAAAAACCGATGCACTATTTTATGTATCTTAGTGTAGTCTACTTGTGTGCCACGTGATATTGAAATGAGACTAAAACTGTAGAAGAAGTAGCGTTTTAAAGGAATTTCACAGACATTTCTATTTTTAGTAACCACGGCAACATCGTTCATCGAAATCAAAAACCGATGCACTATTTTATGTATCTTAGTGTAGTCTACTTGTGTGCCAAGTTATATTGAAATCAGACCAAAACTGTAGAAGGAGTAGCGTTTTAAAGGAATTTCTCAGAAAATTCTATTTTTAGTAACCATGGCAACATCGTTCATCGAAATCAAAAACTGATGCACTATTTTATGTATCTTAGTGTAGTCCACTTGTGTGCCAAGCTATAATGAAATCAGACTAAAATTGTAGGAGGAGTAGCGTTTTGAAAAATTGTTTACAGACAGACGGACAGACAGACAGACAGACGGACGGACGCCGGACGCATTACTATCGCATAAGCTCTTCTGGTCTCTGACCAGTAGAGCTAAAAACCAGAATACTTAAGAAGAGTTACTGTCCAGATTCCAAAGTGGGAGTGACAGATAAGCTGGACTTGCCCACACTGATTCTGGGTAACTTCAGTATTAACTAGAGACACAAATATTTTCTTTGTTTAATTCCAGGTTTTCACCCCACATCAACCCTTGTGTTTGTTTTAGCTACATAATCAATGTCCTCGTGCATCAATCAAATTAAATATTTACGATTTTAAATGAGACAGTGATGTAATTTGCTACTTTATATGTATGGTATGGATGATCATTTTACAGAAAACAATTGATCTAAATATAAGCCATTCTAATCATCATGCACGATAAATTCGATTCTGATGAAATATTTAGAATCAGGCTGCTGAAACTCTAATCCTGGCTTTCTGATAAAAACATTTTTCATGTCTGTTCCCTTGACATTTACACACCATTGTTAATGTTATCCATCAAAACTGTTATCTTCAGTGAGCAAACAATAACATAAACGGCAATTTGAAAATTTAATTCCAAACCATAAATGTACCATCATAATTATAAACGATTTGTATAATAAAACAAGTGAATTCTGGTTAGTTTTCAAACAATCATTTTTACCCATTAATTCACTTGCTGAAAAAAAATTGACAATTTACAAGTTATTCTTATCGTATTTAATGTATCATAGAATGAGGTAAAAAAAAAATTTGCCATCTTAACGGCACTAGTAATGCAATCTTAAATTATTTGCTTTGAATTGTGAAAAATTATATGAAATTCTTTAGTAGAGGGTGTGTTTTATTTAATGATTTTTCATGAAACATATGCAGATTCCTTGTATTCAAACAATGTTATATGCAGCTGAACTTCGGCAACTCAAATGATATCTCGAATACCATGTAAAGGTAATTTTGAAGTCTCAATCTTAATATCTAAAGTATTCTACTCAAAGTTTTTCTTTTTCCTGTCAAAATTGAGATATCAAGTTTGATTTTATTAATGTTGAATGATGGAAGAAAAGGGGAGAAAACTATGAACTACAGCTCCAAGCAAGTAAGATTATGATCCCTATAGAGATTATTACTTACTTTGGCTTGGCTTCTAGTAAGTCCTCATCTGATTCTTCAGCCCCAGAGAGAAACTTCAGCTCCCCGGTCTTAGTTCTGTAGGCTGTGTACTACACAACAGAAATAATATAGATCAGGAATTGATGGTATTATTGTACTGTTCATAAGTAAATAGAATGTACCGGTATTAGTATATATCCTATATTGTGTAGGTTTTATTCCCAGACTCTCACCTTCTTTTTGACAGCTGTTTCATCATCCTCGTCCTCATCACTGTCGTCTACAGGTCTGTTGTCAGTGATGCTCTCTGAATCTGGAAATAAAATACCACACATGTACATCCAGGTAGATAGCAAACACATTGCATACTATGCATCAGGTTCTTTACAGTATTTCTATCCTAGCAATATTATCAGTTTAAGTAGAAAAACTGCAATTATTTTCACTGACAATAGTTTAAATTAAATAATAATTGCAAAAAATGCATAGGATGCCATATTTTATAAGATGACATAAGACAACATTAAACAAAAATGTATGTCTGCATAAAAAATTGTACAAATATAGTGAACAGTTATTTCATAAAATCTGGTTAATACACAAGTTCTAAAGTAATTGTTACTTTGTAAATATAATTGAATTTGAAAATCAGGAAAACATTTTTACATTAAAAGTACTATGAATGAAGATGCATGAGAAGGAGTTATTGCCCTTAGCAACATTTTTTAAATTGAATAATTGATTAAACAAGGAAAATTACATTTTTATAATTCTTTTACTGGACAATTATATGCATTATTCCAATTAAAAAGCATTCTTGCAAAAGATATTTTTCTAATGGATATGAATTTAAATAAATAATTTTTGCTAAAACCTATGACATCACAGGAGGATGGAAAACCTTTCGGGTGATTAAATATTAATGGAATTCAACATACATGCAATTGTGAAAAACCTTAAAAAAGAATATTCAGCAATTGCACAAGGAACAGAAATCAAAAGATAAAACTTATTTCATGAAGAATGAAATAATTACAGTAAAACCTGACTGCACACTGGTGTATAAATAACATACCCTCTTCGGCAACATAGCTGGAGGGAAAGAATCCTTGCTGACCGTCAGGCAGCTCTCCCATCCACCAGTTGTCGTTGTCTTTATAAAGTACGGTAATAACATCCCCCTTAAATATTGTCAGCTCATCAGAACGCTGGGCTCTGTAGTCATACAGGGCTACCACCTACAGAAACAAAGTTATTCAGGTCAGATCATCAGTGTACTATTCAAAGGACCAAAGATTGCATAGGAAATGTAGAACTTTAATAATGAATGAATCCTATTTGTCTTATCAGTACTTATCATACTTATCTTTATGGCTCACCTGTTTCTGGCTGACTGATTTACCAGCAGGTGCTTGGAAGGAAAACTGAGCCTTTCCTCCTTGTTGCTGGAAGTATATTACAAAGACAATAACTTTTTCATTATTCTGTTATGTTCACATAAAATTCATTTATATTTAAAAAAAATCTACTGACTTTCAAAATTTCAGAGAAATTATACATCTCAATTTTTCCAACCTTTTACTTTGTTTTTTTCCTTAATTTTCCTGTTTTGTGTAGAATTACAAGTATTTGGGGGGGGAGGGGGAAAGGGGGGGAGGGATAAGGATTTGGAAAAGAAATTCTGTTTTAGGTACCTACCTGTGTTAGGGCGATAGTTGGGGGTCTGCCTACAAATGTGGGACTGGAGCTTCTTGCACCATGGCGACCAACTGAAAACAAGGTTTAAAACTTAAATTTCTAGCATTTTATCATTTTTGAAAATCACTTCTTAAACTGCCATTGATAAGTGTCTTACCCTCAGTAAACCCAGGCCTCCAGTCAGTATCCCCGGTCTTCAGATACAGGTTCTGATTGGAGAACTGCTGCTGCTGCATGATACCAGTCATAGTACGAGAGGCATGGGGCGAGAAGGCCTGGGGAGAGGCCATCTAAACAACAAGAAATCTCATTTGTATGTCAATGTAATATGACTCCTATATTATGTTAATAGTAGGGATGTGCGATTTTATCGGTATACCGGTATATCACGATTTTTTGTTGTGTGATACGTATCGTGATACAGAGACCTAAATACCGGTCTTTAGGTACATATTATAAAGTCCAGAAATTATTCATTTTTTTGTTCAATCTTTCAAATTACAATTACAGAAAGTATAAAAAAAAATATTGTAAAAAGTGAAAAGAATGGCATCTTACTGTCCAAACATAATTGATTTTATATACATAAAAATTTCAAGAAAGTAAAATTTTGTTTTTCTAGCATATTTTTTAGAAAAATAATGACTTTTCATATAAAATCATTGTAAAAACTGCTTTTAAAAATATCATGATATTATTGTGATATTGTGGGGAAAAAATCGTGATATATCGCGATACGAAATTTTTGGCGATACCCATCCCTAGTTAATAGAAAAGTACATTTCAATATCTTTAATCTGTTCACAATATTTCAACTGACTACTGTACATACTTTTTTATTTATAGTTTTTGACATACTTAATTAACAGATAAATACCATGGTTCTGGGGGTCATGGAACCCATCATCAATCCTGTGTGTCCCATGCGGGGGGTGGACAGTGGAACACCGGGCAGGTCCATAGCAGGGGAGGTTATCTGAGCCTAAAAATAAAACACTGCATTATAAACTCTTACATGGTGCAAGATTTTAATTGTAATCTACCCTAGATATATAGATGTACATGTACAGTAGTGTTCTAATTATCACAAAGAAGTAGAGTTTTGTACAGAATTCTATCAAAAGAAAAACTGTACAATCTAGAAGTCTGACTTACTGTAGCACTGTTGAGTTTTCTCATCACTTTCTCAAATCTAGCAGTAGCATGTGCCTGGAATTCATCTTTTGTCAGAATTCTGGTTCCTAGACTTGATGTGGTTTTTCCTGTGTCCTCCTTTCTAGGGGAACTACAATATTTAAAAATTCATTTTATAAATGATTAAAATAGAATACAAGTCTTTAAAATGGTTTGCATATTCAAAATTATGTAGACTACAAAAACAATGCATTTTCCTCGTTTTGTAGAAATGAAACATATGCATATACATGTATATGTAGATCTTGCCATAATTTTCATAATAACATTAATATATATGTCCTATTTTTACAGTACTGAAGATATTTTTTATTTTTGTTCTGTATGTGCTAAAACATAACGTGTCAGTTAAATCATGAATGTGTCAAAAGTTCTAATATTGATACACACCCAGGTAATGTAGAAGTATGTGGAATCTCCTCGGGCTGAGTGTACTCGGGTACATTGATCTGTCTCGGGGATAATCCCGCATCTATCTGAGCAACTACAAAGTGTGAAAAGATCCAATTTGACACACATTTTAGTGTATTATTTCACTTGTATCTATTATTTCATGGAAAAGTTTGAGCATTCTGAAGTTTAATAATTATTGTAGTAAATATAAAATTACTGTGAGGATCGTAGTTGTAGATAAGGATTGGTTGGTTGTCACCGAGGGAACACAGCGCCATCATGTGGTCTCTAGGGTGATACTCCACATCCGTCACAGGGTACTGATAATTCAACTCCGAAAACATCGCTACCTGGTCACCTGAGTAAAATAAATAAGAATATACACTGTAATACCATATATCATTTTTATGTTATTGGAAGGGGAAGACAATTTGAAATTCTGCATATTTAACATTTTATTTTTTAAATATTTATTCATATTTTAAATTTTTATATTTATTATATAATGCATGCTCATGTATACCTATTACATGTATTTAATATTTATTCTTTTAGTAGCGTTTTATAAAATATTAATAACTGATCACTGTAACTTAATCACTATATTGGTTTTAGCTACAATTGATGATAAATTATCTAACCAGTCTCTGTGTTCCAGGCATAAGCAAAGTTATCCTCACTCCCAGCAAAGACAAATGACCCACAGGGAGTCAGGGTACTGTGGATTTCTTCTCTAAAGTTCAGGGCTCCAATGTACTTCTGCATCACTCTTTGTCTGCAGAACAAAACCATGTCTTATTGATTAACTATTAATTTAATATAATTCTACTTTAATTTTGTCACTTTAATAAACTGCTTCCCAGAGAATTTTTCCTTGCTATTCCCATTACCCTTCCAGGGAATAAAACTTTGTCAAAGAGGTTGATAAATTTGAAATAAGATTTTTCAAATATTTGTCTCTGATTCTCTCTTCTTCCACCTTTTAAAACCTTAACCACTGTTTTTCACTGAGCTACTTTTCATTTGAAAATGTCTTCTTCAACAAATGTTTAACACAACAGTAACTTACACCCTGAGGTCAAACATTCTGATGATGTTGTCCCTGCTGTGTACCAGGAGTCGTCTCCCATTGTGATGGAGGGTCAGACAGTTTATGGGGACATCCTTAAGCTCAGGGTCATCTATTTTACGGAATATGGTCCAGTCTCTTTCCCATCCTGTAAGAAAGAATCAATATTTTAATCAGTCTGCAAGTACATTTGAGTATTCTAAGCAGTCTGCATGTAAAAATTAATTTCTTATTCTAAACAACCAGCTCAATTATTAATTAATGCTTAATGTATATACTTCAAAAAAACTTGCTGTGTTTTACCTAATCTAGGTTCTTGTTCACCAACAAACACATTGAATATCAGGACATTTCCTGCACTGTCACCAGAATACATCTTCCCACCATCTTCTTCAAATATCAGTGTGTTAACTAGCCCTCTGTGGTCCTCTATTTCTTGCTTCAGCTATAGATAAACATTACACTGTGTATATGTTATGTTTTACTTCTACATATATAACAATAGTGTGGGCTTGAATAAAATCTTTTGCTATGTTAGAAGAGGCCTCTGTGCCTTTAAGTCATTTAATATCACTAAACAAGTTTTTCCTGACCAAGGTTTTCTTTTTCCTTAGCTATTCTTTTGAAATACATGGGAGCCCTAACATATCTTCTATATATTCAAGGACAAACAAGTGAAAAATTTTCCCAAGGAACAAAGCTAAATTTTCAGACTCCTTCAAAAATAGAATAAACAGGAACTTACAACTCCATGTTGCTCTGGTCCACTGACGTCCCAGACCCGTATCACCTGGTCGTAACCTCCCGTGGCGATTACCGTGTCCAGTCGGGGGTGGAATTTGGCCGTGTACACAAAGCCAGGGTGGGGGAGGAGTTTCTCCGAGAATTCAAAATTGTCCATGTTCCAAAGTCTAAAATGCAACAGTAGTAAATACTTAGTTATGTTCCGAAGCATTAAACTTAGTAACAATTTAGACATATAACTTCACACAATAAATTTCTTCTCTAACATTTAGTAATCCAGATCATACAATTCTTTCTCTAACATTGTGGTTAAATGTTTTTACCTTGCCGTTCCATCTGAGGATGCAGACAGAAGATGAGTGTCTCGTTTAGACCAGCACAGATCATACACCAGACCAAAGTGACCTTTTAATTTTCCTTTCAGCTCAAATGATGGCACCTTGATAGAACACAAGCAAATGTCAGCTTTTCTCAAAATTTATTCATTAGGTGTATTCAGAGACCAAGTGTGTGAAACGTGCAATAAATTAGTGCTCACACTTATACTTACAGGGCCCTGCAGGCCAAGTCAAAAAGCAAACGACAATACAAATATCCCCAAAACTGAATATTTTACCACTATTAAAAACTTTTTGATGCAGTGCATCTTCAGCTTGCAGCATTATGTTTTTACAGAATTATACCTTTGAAGACTTTTATAAAAACTAAAATATATACAGGCAGAACATATATTTACCTCATAAATAAATATAGGATATTGATCCCTGTCATTACAGGCACAAGCCAAGCTCCGCCCATCGTGTGAGAACCGGAGCATAAAACAGCCCTTTCTTCCCGCGGGGAGGGTAGCATGGAGGGTGTTGGGAATCCGGCAGGTCTGACCAGCCAACCGTGACCAGGAGGACAAAGACTTGTGTTCCCCCCTACAATGAGAACATGCATCTCTTTATGGTCTGCTTCACTTAATGTACAATTAAGTCACATGTTAAAAACTAATATCAAATGTTCCTCATTTATACCAAATACAAAACTATTCTGCATATAAACATATAGATCAACTTTAGTATCTCAATCAAACTCCAATATTTCATATACCATGCATATGTCAAAGTGATTTGAAAGTTCAAAACACTATTTTCTTATTGTAATTATTTTAATTTCAATATCTTTAATATTCAGTTTTATCACAGTTGTATTTTTCACCAAGTTCAAGATAATAAGGTCTGACTATATATGATTTTTTATGTATGTAATCAAAGGCAAAATAAAACAGCATGACTCTGAAAATGAGAAATGCATCCAGCATAGAAACACAGAAGAGAGTACAATTTGGCTATTTGGACTGGTTGTCTGTATTCTTGAATGAAGTCAAGAAATTCGAAACACATGCATACATACTCTAGCTTATAAACTGAATCAATTGACTTCTTTCTCAGTTTTTTTCATTTTTAGTTTGCAAGAACAATCTCTTTTTGTTACATTTATCTATGTGTAACTTTAGTTTGTTTTGTTTTTTTTTTTGTTTTTTTTTTTTTAAACAAAATGGGTTCTGGACGTTAGGCCAAGGGCATAAAAGGACACAACAATATTCTGTTTGTTATTCATGCTTTTGTGAAGGAAAGGAAACATATCTGTGAGTTTCAACATAATGATTCAAAATGATTGTGATATGAATCAACAATCAACAAATGTTACAAACTAGCATGTGAACAACTGAATGCTCAAACAAGTGACTTACCATTTTTTCTTCCTTTAAAAATGTGAAGTAAAATTATTATAAGAATATTAATATAGAGCTGCATATACATTGTAAATGTACTGCATAATTTGAAAAAAATAATGCAGCTAAAAATTCCATATCTTTAAGGTTATTTTTATGAGAAACTGCCTACTTTTTCTTTTCTCCCCATTGTGTACTTTTCTTCAGGTCTGTGTATGTACGGTGGCCCACCTCCTATAAAAACATTCATTTGAGCAAAATTAAAAGTGTGATCAACCAATAGACAATATATAAGTATATAAATAAATGAAAAATCCAATAAACACCAGCCGTCTGCATGCTAGAATCAAATTACCTATATATTTTTTTTCCCTTTCAAATCATTTATTCAATAATGTACAATATAACAGTGAGGCAAAAGTTCCGCAGAAGCCCTCTGGTAATACCTAACCAGGGGGTGTCAGGAGCTCCCTGGGTTGATATAATATCATATAATATATTTCCAATATTTAAACGCAGAATTTTTTCACATTACACTAATATATAATTATTGACGCTTCATTTTCATACATATACATAAATATATCAACAACAAAAAATTTGCACCATTTTTATATATAACAATTAAAGCACCTGTATATGTTTAACACCAATAGAAGCATGAACCTTGTTGCAGTGGGGATTGTGTGTAAAAAAAAAAAAAGAAAGAAGTCTATATCAAGCTCACTGTAACTAGTATTTAGGGCCAGGTCACCCTCAAATACGGGCCTTTTACCAAATTACCTATATTAATTTTTCCAGACTTCTTCATTGAACAAAATTATAAAACATGATCTACCAGTTCATGTTATTTTTTTTTCCTTTGAAGTACTTTTACATGTTTACTGAAGCATGCATTCTTAAAATGAGTAACAAACCTCCTGTGTAGCAAACATGGACCTCATGAGGGCGGGTTCCACGTCCCGCGGGGGTTGGATCCCTTTGATGGTGACGTACAGAGTGGAGGGGTAGGGCTCCCTCTTCATACTGCTCCACCACTGGTAAACCTGTCCAGGTGTAACAGGAAAAATAGCTCATCACAGCATCATATAAGGTATACACATAATTATCATTATTATTAGCAAAATAATAAACATGTTTTGATTCTAATGATATACCGTATAGCCCGTTAAGTCAGATTGTATTAATTTGTATTATGAACATTTTTATGCAATCATGATGTTATGTTGTAAACATATTTATTTTTATTTAACACCTTACATCATGCTCCTTGTCTGCTATTTTAAATTATTTAATTCAATGTTATTATTTTTTTTTCAGATTTGACATGTTCAGCTAACAAAATCTTACCTCTAGCTGGTTGGGTTTTGGGTGGGAGCTGCTGGGAGGGACAAATAATTGCAGCCTCACTTTGGAACCAACATTCAATTTGTTATTATTTCCACGTATCTGGAACAAAAGAAAGAAATGATTTGGAGTTAATTTCATATACCAGAACATTGATGATCACCAAATTCTCTCTTTTTTACAAGCTGTTAAAATGACCTATCACAATCTAGTGCTCTGTTTCTAGAACTTTGTCAAATAAGTTGCAGAGAACAATATGCATGTGTATGCACCAGTATAATTTTGACTAAGATATTTCTAATTCAAAACACAGGTTTTGAGTACAAATTCAAATTAAAAATTTTAACTCTTCAATAGTCAAAAATTATTCAATGCTCTAAGATAGAATTGAAATAAAAGTGCACTGTACCTTTAAGAAAGCCCATGCTATTCTGTACCAGCCCCCCTCTCTTTTTTGGCTGGAGAACTGTTTACTGGCTGTGTTCATACTCACAAAATCAAGCACCTATAGATAACATTTTTATCAAAAATTGAAAAATTATTGAAGAAAAACATTAATGCATAAAACTTCAGTACCACTTGGACCACCTTACTTAGAAATCAACTTTATTTACTAACAACAGTGTATTTCTAAATGAGTTTCTCCTTCATACATGCATACACTTATTCAAAATTTAATCCTGGATTCTTGTTCTTATATTGTTGCTAAATACATTACTACTGTAAAATTGATTACTTGGAAAAAAATTTTGGGACAAGATATTTGATGCTAAAAGTTGCTTTCAGCATGATAAGGGGGAGCAAATTAATAAACATGTTTTGATTCTAACAATATACATTTTCACTGTCTTTTGATTATCTTCTCTGGAATTGGTTTTAAAAACTTTTGATGAGGTTTTAAATGTCAAAAAATAAAATGAAAAAAAAATTCAACCAAGAATCTAAACCAAAAAATCTTAAACTTAAAAATCTGGTATATGTGAGTTTAAAAGTTACAGTACTTTAATAAACAAACCTAAAGCAGAAAAGATGGAGCTTATAAAAATTAATAGCTTCTTCATATCATTGAATTTTCAATTTGCTCACTGATTGAACAAATTGTTTTCAAATACACACTCTCTTGTTCAGGGAAAGAGGAAAACATTTACCTCAAAGAAGACAATGACTTTAAGATCCGTCTCTATAAAGTAGTTAAAGTTCTCATTGAACAGAAGCAGCTCTTCCCAGACAGGCACCACTGACCTAGACAAAATACAAACAAAAGTGAGTACCATTCAATATTGACTGTCCAGTGTAAGCTTATTCTGTTAACTGGTAGTAAGTACTTACTTCCTCTCCTTAAAATCAAATGGTTGGGTCATGATTGGAAGGATTTTGTCCACTTGTTCATTCTCTGTCTCAAAAAAGGCAGTCACTGCTCTGTCCCTAAGGCAGGAAATGAAATCATTATCTAAAACTACCTCCTGGTACATTATGATACTTCAGAACAGTCTCTTAATCATCTAGGCATACAAATTACTTCAAAACATTGCAAATATTGAACTATAAATAATGAGGGTAATTATTGGGAGAAAATTTCGCTGAATACACCAGATAACTCTGTTAGGTCGTGACTGCGTACTTGTGTTGTTTGTGGAGGTAGGTCCCTGTCTCCTCATCCACTATGTGGACCCTGACCAGCGGGTGGAGGATGTGGAAGTCGTTCTTTAGTTTGTCCGTTCGGTGGATCGTCACCGATAACACCTCCCCCTCATCTTCCACCTTCATCCGCTCCTCCCGTCTCCGCTCCAACTCCGCCTCATCCACTGAAATAAATTTTATCAGCCTTTATTTCTAGTACCTACCTTTAATGAATTCAACCTCTTAAAATAAGTTTGTTTTTCATAAATTCATCATTGAGTCAGAACTGTGTCTGGAAATACATACCTGGCTCCTTTTTCTTTTTCTTGTCTTTTTTCTTGGCTGGCTTTTTGACTTCTGTTTCTTCATCTGGTGATAAATCCTCCTAAAATTCATTGCAAAAAAGATTGATAAACTATTTTCTGAATTGGATTTGTCATCAAAACTTCTGCTTATAAAATGATTCAAGAAAAAATCTATTTTTACTTTTTTTTCTCACTAAAGTAAATAAAATAACAAACAATGCTGAGGAACAGTACAAGATACACACCTCTCCTTCTTCTTGATCCTCCCCTTCCTCTGCCTCCTCTTCCCCCTTCTTCTTTTTCTTCTTCTTCTGTTTGACTGCAGCCTTCTCCTCTGTCTGCTCTTCCTCCTCCTCCTCAGCCTTGACCTCTTTCTTTTTCTTCTTCTTCTTCCCCACTGTCTCTGATACCACAGACTCCTCAGAGGGTGACATGGGTCTCTCTTCCTCAGCCTCTCTCCCCTTCTTCTTCTTGCCTTTGGTCTTGGTTGGTGTAGGAGGTACAGACTCCTCAGAGGGTGATAAAGGTCTGGTGTCCTCATCTTCAGTCTCTTCACCTTTCTTCTTCTTCTTCCCTTTCTTGGGAGCAGTCATCGACTCTTCAGATGGAGACATAGGACGTTCTTCTTCACTTGCCTCTACATTTTTCTTCTTCTTTTTCTTTGTCTCTGGCCTTGCTGGAGATGTCGGTTCTGACAATGGCTGCTCATCTTCACTTTTCGCTGCAGGCTTCTTTTTCTTCTTCTTTCCTGTTTCTGCGAGTTCACTGTCTGCTGGAGACAAAGGTCTCTCATCTCCGGAGACGACTTCTTTCTTTTTCTTCCTGGGTGCCTTTGTTGGAGTTTCTGTTGTAGTCTCCCCATCTGGTGGCTTTTTCTTCTTCTTTGGTGTTGTAGCTAGCTCATCTATTGTCATGGTTTTGTCTTCAATCAGTGTGTCACTGAAAAGATTGGATTAGGAGATTCTTATAAATCTGAGTGTATGAAATAGGAGTGTATTCATTGGAATAAAATTTTATTAGAAAATAGAAAAGGATGATTACGTGTCAATTTTCTCGGTGGGCTTTTTCTTTTTCTTCTTCTTTGTATTATCAACTTTCTCTTCATCATTTACAAAAGCTGAATTGTCTTTTGCTGTAATTAGACAAAAATATAAATACATGTATGTATACATTTAACTTTTTTAAATGATTCCTTTTGGCATGATAATTTTCATTATAAGTTGAAACAATGTCCAATTACAAGCTGACATTTCTAAAATAATAACTTTAGGTACACATAATATCGAGTTTACTTCAGTGTCTTATAAAATATTCAATACATGTACAAGTATCTCAAATTTCCAAACATATTAATATTACGAAAAATGATAATTTCTCTAAAGGTATTCCTTGTCTCTCTGATGAAGGTTGGAATTTTTCTCTATGAACACTGACCTTGCTCCTGTAGTTTCTGTCGTCGTTTGTTACTTTTTTCATTTTTCGGACTGTTGTCTGGGTCGTAGGTGTTAGCTTTAATGGCGGCATCCTCCTCCTTCTGTAAACCTTCTCCTTTCCTCAGAGATTCCAGCTATAAAACAAGGAATTAGTCATCTCAAATCTTCACATAGGGCTAAGGCTCATTTATTTTATATTTTGTAACATTTGAACAGAAATACTAAAAAAAAAACAATTAATTATTTTTTTTCTGATGAATTGTATAGATCTAAGTAATTTAATAAATCATGTTTTAATCATCATTGTAAACATACCACTGCCTCTGTCTCGGCCTTCTTCTTTTTCTTCTTTTTGGCTCCACTGAAATTTATTTAAATGTTTATCTAAATGCTTCTTTTTATTATTTATTGTTCTTTATCTAAGTGTCTTTGCTCTTATTAACAAATGAATATTGGTAAAAATACACTATCCATGTTACTACAGTTATTCTAAAATCAGTATATCTCTTAATTTGGAGACAATTTATAACCGGAAAAAATGCCTTGGAGATTTCTTATTTTACATCAATTACATATTATGCCATTTTGTATTTAGATTTACCACATTGAAAGAAACCTACCATTTCTATTTAGTATTACAAGATCTACCAAAAAATGATTTTGCAACAGGTCAATGATAACTTTTACAAGAATTTCTTCAAAATTGATCTATATTCAAATTCAATTTTTTTTAAAAGTGTTTGTTCGTCCTCTCCCAACCTAAAAAAAATACCATCTGTGTCCCTCTCGCAACCAACTAAAATTGGCCCAACTCAAAAAAAATTGTGAACACCAAATTAATGGTTAATTAGGAGTGACAGAAGTGACGTACTCTGTGGCCTGATCCACTGCCTGCTGAAGGAGCTGGTCAAACTTAGAACTGCTGCCCTTCAGATCCGCTGAAACCAAACAACACAAGAAATGGGTTTAATGTTAAATAAATTATTAATCATAATGATAAACATGGTCACCTTTTATATTTGTTTGTTTGTTTTTTGTATAGAAACATAAACATATTCAAACTGAGTATAACAAGGTCAAGGTCCGAAATCATATTCAGCAATTCAACAGAAAATTTCTCAAGTGAAACAACATGACCAGTTCCAACCAACACCTTATTTCTTTATTACATCATGATTTATGTTAGAATTTATTCTGACAAACAGAACTTGGTTTGATCTTGTAGAACACACTACTGGCCCGTGATCAATAGAAATACATTTGTATTTGGTTTTTGGAAACTCTGCCAGGTTATTACAGCAACAAATGTGTGTAACTGGATGGTAAATGTTATGAGTACATTCCTATAGAACCTCAGATGATGAACAAAATACTGTCAAAATAATAAATTTATAATATAGCCTTCTGTAATTTGTAAAATATGAAAAAAGAAAACTTTTTGGATCAGTTTTACAACTGTTATCCATAAACTAAATTAAGTTTTTCAAGGAACTTTTTAATACACACGACAAATAAGCCAATATATACTGAACATTTTAGGGTGTATATATTGCAACACAAAATCAACAGTAAAACTGAGGCCTAAAATAAAATTAAGTTTGTTTGCAGTTGCCTACCGACCCACTGAAAATGCACCCGACCCAAACTTTTTTTTTAGCCATTTGGTAATTCTTTTTTTTTTCAATTTTTCAGAACATTGAAACAGTTTCATTTTCAAATTTTGACACGTTTTTTATCAATCGGTGGTTTATAACAAGAGGTGAGCTTATTCATGTCTAGTAAGTGTATGAAAACCTCGTTTATTTGTTATCTAACAAAAATCTGATTTTTTTTTCCAAAAAAAAAAAAAGGAATGCCTACCTACCGACCCAGTCTAAAATTACAGGTCGGCAACTGCAAACAAAGAATTTTTTAAGCTTGGCCTGAGTGATACAGATTTGGGTATATAATAAACATAAATATCAATCTCTATTATACAGTTTACATAAACAATTACCGAGTGGAATTTCATCTTCCTGTTTTGCCTTCCCAGACTTTGGCCTGGCCTTTTTATTCTTTTTTGCTTTGTCTTTTGTTGCAACTAAAGATGAAAAAATAAGACATTTAAAAATACACCAAACTCTAACTATCACAAACTCTTTAAATAAATCATCCATATAAACATGTTGGTGAAAGCAGTTTTCAAGCATTTGCTAAATAATACTTTGCAGAGAGGACAACATATTTAATTTCTGAATAAATAAATAAAAAAGCTAAATTAGTCATTATAATGAATATATACTTCACATCAATTTCAATTTTATTGAATATATCAAACGTAATAATGTAATTTTTGTTACATTTTCATAAAGTGTACACATGTCATGAATAAGCAAAGGTGTAGAAAGCCACGAATATTTAGAAAACGAATTCCATATTTTAAAAAAAGAAACAGCTGACTTGGTTTTAATCATAGACAAAATAATATAAATTTATTTCCATAGTAAACATCATTTCAAAATGCTTTTATTCATAGTTGTTGATAGAAAACGGCAAATCTTCTATATACAAACACGTTTGATCTTGTTTTCGGCGCCAAATAGTCCAAATTGCTCGTTAATTTCCATAACTATTGTAAAATTAAAGATATAATGGTTGATATATTTCTTTTCTTAGATAAAATTTAACAATGCATCTAATGTTCATCATAAGATGTAGTTGCAAATGTGCAATAATTATTGTAGACAACAAATGTTCCTACCGTCGTCGGCCATCTTTGTTTACATTCTACTCCGCACTGAAAGATTTTTTGAATTTCATTGGGTGAGAATTTTTTAGGATCGATGTAAAAATAGTTCCCTTCTACTCAAAGGTCCTTAGGCACTTGGACAGGACCTATGTACTATAGTATTAGTAGATAAATCCCTGGCTTGACATAATTTATTTTTTAAAAAACCTTTTTAGAATAAATACTAAGCCTGAGTAGTGCAATGTATTTTTTGAACAAATAAAATAAAATTTATAATGTGTAGAAATACGTGTGATATTTTCAAAAGTTTATTATTTTTTATTCCTTTTTGAAAAACGGTACATATTTGTCCGTCTGTATCATTCTGTTTGAGTGTGACACATTCTCTCAAAGAGTATTTGAGTTTTGAAATGAAAATTTGAATATTTTAATGAACAAATGTTTATGCCGCAGTTTCTTTTAAGGACAAGATCATAAATTATCCATCGCAAATTTATACAATAGTTAAAAGATAGTGATTTTAGGTTTTTAAATTTGAATCCCATTTCATTGTATTCACAATTAATCCAGTTAGGCATAAAAATAACACTTCTGATTAACATTTTGAGATTTGAAATTCCACTGATTGTCGACGGATTTTCCTGTTATATCCCGATCATGAAAAGGAGCAAGCGGCGGGTGTGATCGGTCGGCAGTAGATGCTCTCTCCTCCATGGCACCTGATCCCACCTCTACCCAGTGTTCTGGGGAACCATGTTTGCTCTTCAAAACTTGTATTTTTAATGGACTATTTAACTTGAATACTGTTCGTTATCTTTATATATCTCATACATTTTGTCTGGGATCATGAGTATACACCTCGTTTTCGCACTAATACATCTAAAAAAATCTTTGAGCTTTTGTAATGAAACTAAATCTCACCACTTTCTAAGACGTAAGAAAGCAAATTGTTCCTGATGCTAAGAAATCAAAAGTCAATACTAGAAATTAATGAAAAGAATTATTGCTATAAAATCCGAGCTAGATTATTACTCACGTTTTCTTTGAACCTTTTAATTACAATTTTATATTACAACTTTTTTCAGTGTCTAATAAAGGTCCTAGTTATGGACAGACGAGACGTTCCTGAATAATATAAAAAAATTCAAAGGTTTTGTCATTGAAGAATTACATGAACAACTTTAACATGTTTACTCACAAAAAATTGAGGTATCTTACCAGGCATTTGTGCAAGATACCAGATGATGGCATTTCTACGAAAGTCCATTCAGCTCATTTTCGTAGGTTATTTTTTTTTTTCGCGTTATAACGCGAAGCTTTTGCTATTTGCCCAAGACATTTGCTTAAGTCTCAACTTTCTTTTGATTTTGTTATCAAATTTATTCATTACAGTGACAAGCAAAAGGCTATTTTGATCTTAGACTATCACAAGCTACAATTTTAAGTTTTCTTGCTATTGAATCCATCTTTACCGTCATATTTTGTCTTTCTCAACTTTGTTAAAACAATTCAAAGTTTATACGAGTTTATCAAAAGTTAAACTTCAAGATTATGCATGAATTTCGGGAAAAATTACTCCTTTCCGGCGTCTTTTTTTATACACTCTTTAGAGACTTTGAAATAATTTTATTTTCCCATAATGATCAAGATCTGAGAAAAATGACAAAATGAGGTAAATTTGTCGGTTGTGTCCCACCACATTTGTGAAAATTGGATAGCAGATTTTCATTTGTCTCCGTTTTATTCACTGTAGAAATACGATTTCGTATTTTGAGGTTGCGCCACGTGGTCATTCCATTGCTTATGAAAACATGGACAATGAATTCAAAGTGTACACACTCTGCCGTATATCTTAATAGTTTTGATTTATGACGCTAGTCTACGAGAATCCGGGTCATTTCTCCCCAGTACTTGCTCCGCCTAGGTCATTTCCGTCCAGGTCATTTCTCGCCTGGGTCATTTCCCTCCATTACCCAGGTCATTTCTCTCCACAACCGAGGTCATTTCACTCCAAAAGGAAAATTAGAATATAATAAGTTTAATTTTAGTTAGTTTAATTATTTACCATCATTATTGCATATTAACTTTATTTATTTTATTTTATCTTATTAGGGCCTATTCATTTATTAATTCACATATTTATTTATCGTCATGAGTTCACGTTTATTTATTCATAATTTGAACATTTATGAATTCACTCATTTATTTGTAAATTTATTTTTAAAAGATTTTTTAATAGTTAAATGCATTCCTTGATTTGTCAGTTTTTTTTTAAAATTATTTAATTAATTTACACAATCTTTGACTTGCTTGTTCAAAGGGCAAAGACTAATGATTTATTTATTTAGTTTTATTCCTTCATTCGAAGACTTGCTTTCTAATATGGAATATGAAACAACGTTTATGCGATAATTGAAATATTTTATTTTAATCTTCTTTCTTTAACAATTAAATTCATTATCAATAAGACCTTAAGTAAATTTGTTTATTGTCCTGTCGTCTTTCGTTTATGGTCTTTATCAGGAATAAATATATAATTGTTAGAATTCGTAATTGCTGTATTGCGGTTTTATGGAAATTATGGTACCCTAAATGGTGTTTTTATCATCATGCTGGGTACATATGTTTATCCGTAAATTGTCGATTTCACAGATTGACACCACAATATCACTTTTAGACTTTAGGCAGAAAATATCTTCTTGTACAAAGATGCATGTTTTCTTACAGGGATTCATACATACAAGGGTCGTTTTAATGGTGTAATATACAAGTACTAGTATTTTAAACATCTTAAAAATTGCGAGCCATTTTCTGCGAAGTTTCGGAGGTTCCTTTTCGAAATCTTATAATTCATTTTCTAAGAGATAATATTTTTTTCGTTGTTACATTCACATTAATTCATGAGATTTGACTACGTACTTTATCAATTTTGTATAGGTTGTAAATACATCTATTGCATTTTAAGACGAAATTCTGTGCAGTACTTTATGAGAAGTTGCACTGACAATCTGTTCATTTCTGTATTCAAGGTACAGCTAAAAAACTAAGTTGAAAAGTGCCGAAATTCCCAGGAAAATAAAGGAACCGGAATTTCCTGGTAATATGCATATCTTCACACTGTGTACTACATGTAAATATCTGCAAAGTTTATGCAAATTCTGTGCAGCGGTTTCAGAAAGGGTCGACAGACAATCAGTTCATCTCTATTTTCAAGGTATGGCCTAAAATATAAGTTGAAAAGTGAGGAAATTCCCGGTAAAATAAAGGAATAGAAATTTCCTCCTAAGATGTACACCTTCACTCTGTGAACTAAATATCTTCAAAGTTTGACAATATTATGTGCAGCAGTTTAAGAGGAGTTTCGCTGACAAACTGTTTTATATTTATTTTCAAGATATGGCCAAAAATCTAAGTTGAAAAGTGCGGAAATTTCCATAAAAAATAGAATCGATATTTTCTGGTAATATACACATCTACACATTGTGTCCTAAATATCTGCAAAGTTTGACGAAAATCTTTGCAGCGATATATGAGGAGTTGCGCCGAATTTTATATTGCGTGGGGTATAAATTATAAATTCTTGTTTTCTTAAACTTATTAATATTTTTAGCTGCAGAACTGTAGCTCTCCAAAAAGAAAATGTATTGACAGACCGGTCTGTCAATATATTTCTTTTCAGAGAGCAACACTTCTCAAGTTATTGAATTTTAATGTCATACCGGTTTTTTCCCCCCTTTTTCTCGTAAGGTCTAGAGTGACATACTATAATTTAAAACTGTTTTATTTTTTCAATCCTACATATTTGTATCGCTAAACACTATCAAATCAATTAATAAAAGCAATTCTTTTAGGAATAATTTTTCTAAGTTTCGAGTTTGATCATCATCTATATGATATTCAGTTTCCAAAATTTCATTATCGGCTAGGGAAAATTTCTACACACTTTCTCTCGTTCGATTTTTATGAGTCATAAATATTGATAAAATTAATTCATTTTACAATATAAAAGTTAATAACAGAAGAATGGAATTGTAAATAATTACGATAGACCAGATTAAAAATGGGGTGAAATGACCTAGGTAGGAGAGAGAATTGACCTACCGTGAAATGACCTACCGTGAAATGGTAGGAGAGAGAAATAACCTGGGAGAGAAAAAGTTTTAGAGAGAAATGACCTGACACCGTCTACGAACTTCTCTATAACCCCGCGGATATATAAATATTTGGAGAAAATTTAGAGACCCTCCTCCTCGATAAAGTAATTAATTAACAACATCCAATTATAATTGTCATTTAAACAACATCATATGGCCAATTTAGCTCATTCATGTTAATTTGCATGTACATGTATTAAATATTTAAAAAAAGCGAAATTTAAACGACAGGAATTTTGGGGGGTGGGTGTGTTTTACATCCTTAAAGGCTTTTCCAAACATATTTTCCATCTGAAAAAAAATGGTTATGAAAAAAAATAATTGGAACGTCATAACGGAGTGTCTGATTTAGCTTACGTCATTAGTATTGTGACATCACGTTTCGTAGTACACTGTCGTTGTGTTGTGGATACGAATCATTCCAACGGCTTTAGTCGAAGACATTGGACGCATTTTTCACTCTCCCAATTTTTGGCAAACTTGACTGCATTTAGCAGAGAAATGGCGACGATGATGCACAACAACAAAGATAAGAGGGTATAGCCTCATATTGCGTGTTCTATTTAGTAAAAAGAAAAAAAAAGTTTGGTATTGATTTCTTGGTTGAATTTTACTAGAGAACTACTGGCGGGGGTAGGCCTAACGGATGGTTTTATGGGAAAAGAGTACCAATTATTTTCCAATAGAACTCTATACAAACATTTTGTCCTCTCACTACTATACTAATTTAATTTCAGATAATTCCTTGGCATCGTTTGAAACTTTAATCCAAGCGCTTATAAAAAATCCCGGAAAAAATATAGGGTCCCATGGCGTTTATAGGTCAAAATTGCAGTTCTTTAAAACTTATAGGTATCGGCAGTAAATAACGCTCTGCAAAAAAAATCA